GTTTGGCTCAGTACTTCCGGGCATCTGTGAGCAGATGCTTGGGAAGCTCTTAAATCCATGCTATGGTAAGTGCACACGCTAAGCTTTGTGCACTTTCTGAAATCCACATGGTGGTAAGTGTGCACGCTGAACACTTTGCGCACTTTCTAAAATCCACATAGTGGTAAGTGGGCACGCTGAGCACTTTGCGCACTTTCTAAAATCCATATAGTGGTAAGTGTGCACATTAGACTGTGCGCACTTTCTGAAATCCTGTATTGTAAGGGTTACGCGTTATCAGCCTCGTTCCTTTTCTCTGAGTTGGTTTAGACCCCAGTACCTTGGGCTCCACTCAACCAGTGTGTCTCTGCTGACACACTTTTGAAGCATCGTCCCCCCCTCACCATTGAGGGTTATTGTGAGCATGGTGCTTTCTTTCGAGCGTTTGAATTCTCTCCCTTGCTGAGGAGTTGGATTCCTCGCTCCGTGGGCTGTTCTCGTGGTAGTGTTTAGCAGTGCTTCCCTTTATCAAAGGGTTGCCTATGAGCACGCTACTCCTTTCTGAATTCGGAGTTCTCCTCTCACATGGAGAGTTGAGTTCTCCTGGAACCAGCAGCATCAGGCGAACTAGGCCCTTCCTCCGTCTCTCTGATGAGCTGAGTTTTGGCTAGCTTGCAGTACGCTTACCCTTCTGATTTCTAACGATCGTGCTGTAGGTTTAGCCCCCTCTCATAGAGATCTGGGTGTTGTGCTACCTCAGCTAAGGTAACTTACTGCTAGCCGTTCCAGCATTGGAACATGCTGTAGGTCGAGCCCCCCTCTCGATTGAGAGCTGGGTGTTTGCTCCCTCAGCTAGATATTTACTGCTAGCCACTCCCGCCTTATACCTTAGATCGAGTTGATGACTTCTCAAACATAGTGTTTTGGGATGCACCATTTCCATCTATGGGCTGCTCTTTCAGAGTGCAACGAGGGCCCCTTAGAATGGTATCTTTAAAATCCACACTAGTACTTTGCGTTCTTTCTAAAATCCTGTATGGTGAGGGCTTCGCGCGGCAGCTT